TGCACCCTGTCAAGGCGGAAAACTTGCAAGATCTGGAAAACAAGGCAGTCCCATCGAGTTCCTGCTCTCACAGATTTCACTGTATTAATTCAGAGAGACGCCCACCAGGTCCCATCCTGAAGGCTGGGAGAACCTGGAGGCAGAAGGGCTGGCTTAGGGCCCGCCTGCTCTGCCCACTGCCGGGGCCGCCTGGAGCCCCACAGCAACACCAGGCCTGGGGCAGCAGGGGCTGGAGGAACTCCGGCACCACAGCAGTAGAAAGCCTGCTGGAGGGTGTGGAGGGACAGAGGACATGTGCTGGGGGCATGTGTGGGGCAGGATGCAGAGCGGTTTGAGGGTTCCAGCTGACCGAAGATGAGAGGCAGGTTCCTCATGCCTCCATCAGCACTGGCGCACGGGCACATGAATGGACAAAGCGGATAAGAGGAGGCATACCGCCACTACCACCACCAGTCACCATGGCAACTCACGGTGACCCCAAGTGTGTCAGAGTAGAACTGTACTCCATAGGATTTTCAGTGGCTGATTTTTCGGAAGTAGCCTTTCTCCTGAGGCACCTCTAGGTGGACTCAAACCGCCAACATTTTGCTTAGCAGATGAGCTCATTAACCATTTGCACCACCCAGGGATGCCCAGAAGAGGCATGGGGAGGCTATGGTAACCCATTGTACGAATGATTCCTGCACCCCGACCTCCCTTCCTGGTGTGTTCCCTCGGCTGGGGGAACGTTCCAGCCCCTCCTTGCTTCACTTCTCCAGAACAGAGATTCTCAAACTTTAACGTCGGTAAAAATCACTGGGAGAGCCTGTTACAACTGCTTCCTGGGCCGCATCCCCAGAGATTCTGATTCAGTAGGCAAGGTAGGGCCCATGAATTTTGCATTTCTAACAAGTTCACAGATGACGTCAAAGCTGCTGTTCCAAGGACAGCACCTTGACAACCCCGTTCTAAAGGTCCCATCGACCATTCTGTGATGACGGAAATGCTCTACCCCTGCCAGAGCTAGAGTTACCCAACGGGACAGCGCGGATCTAAAAGGAATTGCCCCCACTGTCCTCGCCCTCCCACACGCCTTTCTCAC